GCTGATCAGGATCCCCAGCTCCAGCCTGACTCCAGAGCTGATTAGGGGCTGATCAGGATCCCCAGCTCCAGCCTGACTCCAGAGCTGGACAGGAGCCCTACTGTAGCTCCATGTTCCTTCTCCCGGCTTTGGAACTGTTCTGACTCCGGTTTGGATTTTGGATCAAGTCATTCATTCACAGAGCTGAGCTCCAGTCTCCAGACCTTCAGTACAGCTCCAGTTCCAGTTCCGTGTCCGGAGCTCAGCTGACAACAGCTGGCTGGCTTCGCTCCGGCTGGGCAGCCCCGACGCTCAGCCAACCCTAGTTTATAATACGCTCATTTCAAATTAATGGAGAACTATTTCTTTCAGATTTCAGACTCTGTATGTCTCCCAGTCTTGCGGTGTATAATTTCTGCCCCCGCTGTACAGTATGTGAGTGCCTTGCAACATGTTTGCATTGGAACCTAGGGAACTAGGAAAGTAAAAATGAAAGAAAAATTACGATAAGAAGCAGAACATGAACATGGTTTAACATTTTATTGATCGGGTGAGTGGCTAAACGATTTATTCATTGGCTGGTCTGGAAGTTCCTGGAGTCCGGAATCTAGCAGATATCCCGGATGCACCTTATGGACCCCACGGCGGGCTTGTCGCTCCCCCAGTCGCTGAACCTCCTGTACTCTCCGGGCCTCAGGAAGAACTGCCTGCCCCTGTAGCTGGGCTGCTCATAGAAGAGCCAGTAGCCCTCCATCACATTGCAGGAGTGGATGTCGCTGCTGGGGAAGCGGTCTCTGACGGAGGGGCAGTCGTCGGTGAACTCCATCATCTGGCCGGCAAACTCAGGTCTCTCGTACATCCTCATCCGGTAGTGCCCTCGGTACTGTGTGGGACAATGAAACGACTGGCTTACTGCAGCGACCCGAACACGTTCTGGCTACATCGCAGAGGCGGGACCTCAGATCCACGTCGGGGGCAGCAGAGTCTGCCAGTTCTCCTGCCACCTGAGCTCTATCTGACATAACTGAAGAAGATCATGGTTTAAAACAGGCAGAGCACTGGCCGCCTAGAGGAGGAGCTGAGGACCCCAGTTTTCAGTGTTTATTATGGGTGTATCCCTCCTGTATTATACCGTATGTACTGTATGCAAATCTGGCTATTCAAATTAGAAAAATAAAGACTGTATATTAATAGCTAATAAGTAATGTATTTGCTATTTTATTTGTTTGCTCTTTTCTGCAGTCAAGATGAAAAACTTAAACAGAGGAGTGCAGGTGGCATTTCATGGAAACTATGAGTCACGTGTGGAAAGAGGGTTTGGTGAAGAGCCTGTACGTCGAGCTCTTTAGGGTTCAGAAAATATTTTGGAAAATGTGGTAGATGTTGACTGACAAGGAAAACTATGTACTGTAGCTTAGAACGCAGGCAACATAAAGATCTCCTTTGAAAAAAGAGGAGTTAGACAGAAGAAACAGTTTTTAACAATCTGCAAGACACAATTGACTATACAGTAAAAGCAACGTTAGACAGCAGCATAAACCTTTTACAGAGATAAGATTTTCCTTGGGTGAGAGCTGATCTAGACTCCCCAGTGTCCTAGAAGCCTGCAGGTTAGGAGCTACTGTTTGCGCTGGTACAGTACATTGTTAGGGCTAAACACTTGCCTGTGGAATCATGCTGCAGGACCTGATGCAGTCGTTGAAGCCCATCCAGCGCTGGTAGTCGGGATACTCGCCCCTGCGCAGGAAGTACTGGTAGCCCATGTAGTTGGGGCGCTCGTACACCATCCAGCAGCCGCTCTCCACTCGGATGGAGTTGCAGCGGCTGAAGTAGGAGTGCATGTCGGCGCAGTCGCTGCTGCACTCATAGGAGCGCCCCCCGAAGTTCCTGTCCTCGTAGAAGATGATCTGTAGCAATACAGCACACCACAGATTAACCCAGTTCGAGCCCCGTAGAAGCTGAGACTTGCTTTGCGCTAATTTTGTGTTTAATTTGTATCTGTCAGAAAGTGTCATGTAATTACCTTCCCCATGCTGAGTGATAGCCTTGCAGATCGAGCTCAGTAACAATGACTAATGAATCTCAATTTATAACAGATTGCTGAGGCCTCCGGCATTGATATGCTAACCGCGCGGCTGCTGACAGTTAACACCTATGGGCTTTATTTACAGTGGGTTTAATTGTGTCAGATCTGCTAGATCAACCGTGAAATGTATCAGTAACAAGCACTTTTGTTCCACCACATGATCTTCTTTTTCAATATAAAGAGCTTATCAAAGCTTTAATTTTTGTTTCTGGGGTAGGCAGGATCCGCCGTACGCTGCTGAACTGGCTGTGGGCATAGTTCACACTGACAAGCCCCTCGTTAGCGGCGCACGCGTTAGCGTTTCGGGGCTCAGGGCAAGGGGAGCAGGCCCTTGCACACACACAGTGCCCAGGTTTGTGAGTCAAAACGAGATCTTGTCAGTGAAAATGTTTGAAGCACAAGTGAGTAAAGACACATTGCATTGCATAGTTCTTGCAGAGCGACCGCATCTCAAGGCCTACTTGTATCTCACTGGGGTGGCTGGATTTCAGGAGGACATCTGCCGTGTTGCTCTTGAGATGTTTACAAGATAAGTTTGTTTAACAAATAATGACAGTCATTATGTCAATGCTTAAAAATAGCCATTTTTTGTCAGGTTTGGTATGGGAACATTAAGACTGTAGTCAGAAGTGAGGGTTTTGTAGTGTAAAGCAGACAGAGAAATCAACTTCCAAAGAAAGATTCTCAAGATCAGAACAGGACTCAATGAGAAGAGGTCAGGGGAAAATCCTGTAGTACTATGTTACTGTGTAACTGTATTACTGTATTACTAAATTACTGCATTACCATTTATTGTGTTACTGCATTACTGTTACTAAATTACTACATTACTGTATTAACTAAATTACTGCATTACAGTATTATTGTGTTACTGCATTACTGGATTACTAATTACTGCATACTGTATTATTGTGTTACTGCATTACTGGATTACTAATTACGCATACTGTATTATTGTATTATTGAGTTATTGTATTACTAAATTACTTTATTACTATATTACTTTACTTCTTATTTTATGGTCTTCAAAATGTAAATTGTTACATACATTAATTTCAAACACTTTTGAATTAGCATTTAACACATTTAGAGTAAACACCACACTGGACTTGGTGATTAATTAATGTCTAATCCCAGTCTCCGAGTTAGACATCACATAAATGAGGTGTCATTAATTGAGTTGTTTTTAACCCAGGTCTTCATCAGGCGAATGATTTATCTCATTTCTCGCAGTAGTGAGGGGGTCTGGGCAGCCTATTCTCACAGTTAGAGTGCGAGACATATTAAATACTTCACACATACTCAGTCTCTCTATCAAACTCTTTAGGATCTTAACAAAAAACTGGAATGTAGATTTATCTGAACCTTTATGTGCATTTAAATTAAGAAAATAATTCTGAGCTGCCTTATGTTCAGTCTTAAGACCCTGGTTAAAAATGCAACATGCAACACTTCAGCATTCAACAACTTTAATGGCACGTTATTTACAAAACACGTACTGGAGCTGTGCTCGTTAATAGTCAATGACACGTCTGAAAGAGCCGACTGTGGCACATGTCGCACACCAGTCGCGGTATCTCCGGTACTCCCCCGGTCTCAGGTAGTACTGCCGGCCCCTGTAATTGGGATATTCGTAGAAAATCCAGTAGCCGTTCATCACATTGCAGGAAGAAATGTGCCGATGATGGAAACGATCTGACACGCAGGGGCAGTCATCCAGGAACTCCATTATGTGTCCGGCAAAGTCTGCTTTCTCATAGATCTTCATTCTGTACAATCCCCTGTACTGTTGCGAGAAGGTATTGGAACAAAAATGTAAGTAAGAAGCACTGCAATGGATGAGTTGAACTAATTCTCACAGCCTGACCATACACACAGGGCAGCACAAACAGACCTGACTGTCCTGAGTGGACAGGCTCATTGACCACAGCTTGACTATAGACTCTGGCCACAGACAGACCTGACTGTCCTGAGTGGACAGGC